AGCGTCCCCCGCCGCTGGGGCAGTGCACGGGGCCATGGCGCTGGCATTGCTGGAGCGCCAGCTCGGTGCCGGCACAGCGTACCCCGCTCATCACAACCCGCGTGGCATCGGGGCTGCCTGCCCAGTACCATGTCTCCTGAGCAAAGGAGGAGCACAGCACTTGGACCCGTCCTCACACCTCCTGCCAGCACACACCAGCCTCCCCTGCCACCTGCCACCTCCCCCACCCTAGCACTACCACGAGGGCTTGTCCCTCTGGCTGTCCCATCCCAGAGCCCCTGCCACCCCATGCCCACTACCCATCCTGCAGGACCCCTGGCAGTCCTGGCCGCTCGCTGGGACCCCACTCACCTGAAGGGCATGGCTGGCAAAGCCCAGCCCCAGCTGCCTGCAGACCACCATGGCCTCGTTCAGCCCCCACTGCGCACCACACACTGCGCCCCACTGCAGCTGCCCCTGCACTGGCACCAGCACCTCCACCACACCTTCCTCGGGGCTGCGGCCCCCAGCCAGCCGCACCTGCCAGCAGGGAGGGGTGAGCTGGAATGTGGGGCAGACCTCAACCCTCCCACACAGTGCTACAATGGGACAGGCAGCCCCACACATCCAGCTGAACATCTCCCTCACCTTCCTCTTCGTCCTTTCCTCCCCACAAGACCACTTTTGTCATCGGCTCATCCTGCAGAACCCCACTAGGGTTCTGCTCTGTGTTCCCCCATCCCCAGGGCTGCTCTGAGCATGCCACTGGTCACAGAGCTTGGGGGGCAGGGGGTCACCTGGCTCTGGAAGTCCATGTGGGGCATGTGGCAGCGGACAGCAGCATCAGCCTCATGCCGACACCCGCTCCGCTTGGCATCCTGGAAACAGCACTCACCCAGGGAAGGCTCGTGGCCAGTGCACTGTACATTGCTCATGTGAATGGGCCCCAGACCTAAAGTAGAGGAAGGGTCAGTGCTCCCTGCACCATGATTATCCTGGAGCAGGGAGAACCCCTAGCCCTCCTTCCCCCAACCCTCCTTCCCTTGGTTTGGGCATTCCCTATGAGACTGGAGCTGCTCACGGCAGGAACAGACAGGGAGCTCTATCCCAATGCAGGCTGGAGCTGCCTGAACATTCCAGGATGCTCTAGCAGGACACATCAAACCAGTGGCTTTCCCCATTATACCCCTCCAAGCCCAGTGGTGCCCCAAGTCCTTGCTGTGCCACCTGTCTCACCTTGTCCCATCCGGGCTCCCACCAGGGCCTGCTTTGCTGTCCCGTAGCCCAGCTGCCGGCACACCACACTAGCCGCGGCCAGGTCCCACTGCTTGTCACACACGGTCCCCCACTGCCCGTGGCGTAACACCTCCACCCGGCCCTCTCCAGCATGGGTGCCTGCTCGCAGCCGCACTGGGAGCACCTGGTCATGGGGAGCAGCCAGTCAGCAGCCCCAGGAAATGGCCACCCACCTGCACATGTGCAAATGGTGTGGTTGGGTGCTGCTTGGCTCTGGGACTCTGTGTCAGTGGCATGGGGTGCAGGGCTGTCCCAGGGCTCACCTTTCCCAGGGAAGTCTTGCTCTTGCCCTTGCCCTTGCCCTTACGGAAGGCAGGGCTGGGGAGACAGCTGACGATGGCATGCATACCACGGGGGCAGGCTTGCTGGGGCCGGTGGGGCCGCTTGCATAGGGCAGCGAGCCAGGTGGGACTCCGAGCCCTGACACCGCACCCTGTGGATCCAGAAGTTGTTCTTCTGGCTGAGGGTCTTCAGGCTGTTGATGGAGAGGAGCGGGGGCCAGCATCAGCTCGGGTGCTAGAGACTCTCCCCTACCCAACACCCATGCTGGGTGCTCATCCAAGGTAGCCTGATTGCCCTGCCCAGGCTTGAGCCCTACCTGGAGTTAGGGTCCTTCAGCTTCCTGTTCCAGAGTTTTCTGTGGGTGCACAGAGCCAGGAGGTTGGGGTGGGCCATGCTGATGCTGCACCACTCCAAAGCCCCCACCCCATCATTTCTGCCCTTCCCAGCAAGAGCCGGAGCCATGGGGCCCTCCCAACAGCATGCCAGGTTCTCTCCCACTGGCAATTACCATGTCAAGCCTGGCTGTACCATGTGTCCCAGTGGGACTGTGTGACTCCTGGCATTGGCAGGGGCTCATTATGGGCTGTATTTATAGCCTCAGCCTGAGACAGGGGTGGAGGGACATAGGGATGCTTGCCTTTCCTTTCCTTCCTCCCATGCTTTGCCAGCCACAGCTAGTGACCATCCCCACAGTTGTCTGGATGCTGCCGAGTCCAACTCTGCCCCTTGTCAAGGCCTCAAGAGTGGGACTCAGGCATTGCTAGGCCATACCAGCACCTTGCACACCCACCCATATGTGCAGCCCTCTCCTGACACCCCCTCCAATCTCTTGTCCAGCCAGGCACCTGCCCCACACACCCAGATGCAATGCATGTCTCCCACATCCCTACCGGTAGAAGCTAGTGTTGATGTGCTTCTCTGAGGGGAAGCCCAGCATCCCGCAGACCACACGGCTGTTGTTCCTGGTCCAGTTAGCATCACACACTTGCCTCCAACGCCCATTGTGCTTCACCTCCACAGCACCTTCCATCACTGGCATGCTCATCTTGGCCCGTGCCAGGATGGGCTTGAGCCGCACCTCCTCCAGGCTCAGCCCTGGCACCTGCTACAGCGGGCACGGAGGTGGGCATGGGGCTCCAGCATCGAGGGCAGGGTGTTCAGGGGACAAGGGGAAGGGTCAGAAGGACCTGCTTTAGTTCCCTCGGTGTACCCTGCTGGACACAGGGGACTGCTATGGTGTCTACTCACCTCTCCCAGGTGACCAGAGGTGGTGGCTCGGGGGGAGCTGCCAGGCAAGTGCTGTCCTGAGCACACCACACCAGCATCTTCGCCATGGTGACAGTCACTGATGCCCCAGCCATTGTGAAAAAAAAAAGGAGCCTTCGCTGCCCCCACACCGCACGTTGTCCAGCCAGATGGGGCCTGGGGACACACAAGACTGGGGACCACCATTGCGGAGGTGCCTGTCTCCCTCCCCAGCACCATGCGCCCCATCCAATGCCTCCCACAGGTTGCCCTCACCCATAGCTCGACAGGCAGGCTCCCCCAGCCAGCAGTAAGCACACTGGCCTTGCCAGG